ACAGGAGGAGATTGTCCCTCCTTCCCCAGCAGAGCATCTGGTGGATTTGAACTGTGCACCTCTGGGATTGCAGTGCAGCCTCTTGCCACTAGGTCACCAGAGCTCCCCTGAGTATTTGACTTTTTAAAAAGTTTAAGTAAGGATACCTTAGAAATACTTCAGGTTCAGTTCCAGACCACTGGCGTAAAGCTGCTGTTGGTATAGTGAGTCACACACATTTTGTTTCCCAGTGCATGTACAAGTTATGTTTACCCTGTACTGCAGTCTGTTAATTGTACAGTAACCTTGAGATAAAGTTTGCAACATTGTGAAAATTAACTGAGTAAGACACAGAGACACCAAATGAGTGCAGTTGAAACTGTTGAAAATGAAAGTTGCCACAAACCTTAGAAGGGGTGTGTGTGTGTGTGTGTGTTTAAAGAAAACTATTTGAGGAACTAGATAAAGCAACTGACAGTATTTGAGTTGATATTAAGTAGCAATAATAAATTTGTAATGACTTGCAGACATTTTCCCAGGAATGTAAAACTGTTCAGTATTAGTTAAGCACAGAGTGTCTAAATAAGCAATTTTCTTTTCTTTGGCCCATATACTCGAGATAGTAAGGAGATAGGGAATCTATCTTCCAAACTTAAAAATGAGGTAAAGCTGACTAATCTGACACCTTAGCTGTACCATTATCCTGCTGATTGTGATTTGTTTTACTTGCATCTTTGAGGCAAACATATTTAAACACTTCTTTATATTTTTGACCTTTCAGGGGGATTCATCAATGTCAATGTCAGTGAAGTCAGTTTTGATGAGGTTCGTCAACTCTTTGCGAAGGATTTAGATATTGAACCAGGAGGTCACTGGCGGCCAAAAGACTGTAAACCCAGATGGAAGGTGAGGTTGGTTTCCCCCAGGTACTGTGACTGTCACTGTTTCTTTACTTCAAATAGAGAGTGAAATGCCTTTAACTCTTGATAAACATAACACCTCAGAATACATGTAAGTACATATCCACAGTTAAAATGTGATTTACAGCCTTCATAGTGTTATTTATGAAGACTTTAAAATGTACCAATGAAATATATGCCCAATGTGTTCAACTTCTTCAAGTCCTTGCTAATATATCTTTTGAGACTGGCTTGTTAAAGAGATTTTTCTGCTCTGTGTTGGGTGAGTGATTTCTCTGTCTCCTCCAGCTATCTTTGATAATTGCTGGCTGCCTGCGGATTAACTCCACCAGGTAATGAAGCCAACGAGAACCCACTGAGAGGATATTAATATCTTGATTTCCAATTCCGTTTTGCACTGAGGTGTTGAGGCTCTGTTCTTTGGCACATAGAATTCTGAAGAGACCACTTAGAGGTCCCTAGAGGGGTGAAAGGGGGACTTTGGACTCTACCTCATGTCAGAAGGCAGGGTTTTCTGTCTTTGATGTTAGACTATAAGCTTGGTTTTGAAGACATGGTTGTATAATATTGTTATGTTTGAGTAGAAAATAAAATTTACCTAATTCAGATGAAAGAGATGATTAAAATGAAATGTCCTGAAGGATTATATCCTATAGGATTATGACATATCCTGAAGGATTATGGCAGATGCCATAATCTGGTTAACTGTTCCTAGTTTCTCTTTCAAAATGTTAGTATCTTGTTAAAATAGTCATATGTTAAGTGAGGGTTTGATTTGACATTGCAGTGAATTAAGTATATTCATCAGTTGTAATGGCTCTTATAAAACAAATTGTCTGTGAATGACTGAAAGAAAGCCTAGTATGATTTATGAACTTCTCCCTCAACCAAACAAAAAGAAAGAAAATATTTTATAATAGTAATTCCTTCCCCTTCTTGCCAAATAAATAAAAAATCAGTTCTAGGGAAAACAATTGTGTGTGTACACTCATGAAAAAGCCTCTGACTTAATCTGCTTTGAACTCTGTTTACTCTGTGTATTATCTCAAACAAGAGAGCATGTTGTCTTGTATTGAGTAAGCTCTAAAGAAAGTTGTTAAATTCAATTTGAGGCAATTAAACGTCATTTTGACCTGGTTAAAAATGATCAATCACATAAATGCTCCTTTTTCTCCTTGACGCAAACTGTTTACATGGATTCCACTACGAAGTCTGGAAATTCATTCTGTAAATTGGCTCTTATGCTGTTTGCCAGATCACATTCATTTAATAAGTGAACCTTTGCCTGTTTCTTGATTGAAATGTAAAGTATGGCACCTGACAATCTGGAACAAGATATGCATTACAAAGTGAATTGGGGAAGGGAGGGAAGGAAAAAATATATATCAATGGATGAATGAAACTCCATTTCTGAAAACTTCACTAAAATCACTGTCTCTATGTTATTGATTACCTTTGAGTTGAGCATGACTCTATGAACAAAAGTCCTGAAGCCCCTCTACAACCATTGACATTTATCAAAGTTCATAGAGTTTCCGGAGGCTGTTTAGGAAGTGGATGTCACTCCTGCTTCTAGGTATAGAAATTATTTTCATTGCTAGGGTGATGAGTATATAGGTTGAATACAGATGAAAGAAAAAGCTGTGAAATTAAAGGGAACCCCCTGAGGACTGATTTTCTGTCTGAAGGATACCGAGTGTACCCTACGTGAGGAAGTCTGGCATGGTGGTAGTAGAACAGGTTAAGATTAGGAAAATCGAATATTCTTGTCTTCCTCCAGTAGTTGATCCGGATGTTGGATCTTAACTTTTATAGTTTGTTTTCTTCTTCTTGCTGCTTTCTAGAAGAGAAGTGTATCGTTTATGAATAGTCCAGCTTAGTGACTTTCATCCCCTACACTCATGTGCATCAGTAGCCACCAGTACTGCCTGGGAGCAAGCCTGAGTCTGAGATCTAACGATTAGTTTATTTGACACAGAAACTGGATGGTAACTGTTGCTGTCTCTGCTGTCAGCACACGTCTTTTCTCAGGTGTTGGTGTCTAGTTGACAGCATACACAACTGATAAGTACAGTGAGAAACCAGAACTAGACACAACTAAAAGCGAGCTAGACTTTTTTTTTTTAAGTGAGCTTTTCTTTGAGCTGTACGTATGGTACTTGTTGCTGTTTTATATGTTGTTGAGTCATAGCTGAGCCTCCAGGGAATGTTTAGAGGCTGTAAATCTCAATGGAGGAGATGGTCCATCTTTCTCCCATGGAACAGCTGGTGGATTTGAACCACTTGCCTTTGCATTGGCAGTCGAGCTCCTTACCTATTCAGGCACTAGAACTCCCTATTTCATTATTATCTCCCAAAGGAAAAAGTTGCCATATTTAAGTAAATAATTCCTCCCACCACTCTTCTCTCCTTGTTCACTTTCTAATAATGTCTTGTTCCGATACTGGGTCAGAGTTGAGAGAGAAGTTGGGGGAGGAGGGGGAGAACTGGATTTAGGCTAAATGTCTGCCACTAGGTTGATTCTTAATCTTTGAGGCCCTTTTCTCTCTCTTTCTCTCTCTCTCACTCACAGAGTACTCATCTAGTCGAATTAGAATTGAGTTCTTCTAAAGAAATTATAACTTTCACAAATCCTGGGCAGATTTGAATGAAGATTTTGGTACCAGTAGGAAACTTTGCAGAGACAAACTTGTTTCTAAAAGGGAGATGGAGAGAAGATGGTGGTGGGGAAATTTATGTGAAAAAGAACTTTGTCCCCTCATGATGTGTGTAAAAGAAAATACAATGAGAGGGGAGCTCTGGTGGTTTAGTGGTAAGGAATTGTGCTGCCAACACAAAGGTATACGGTTCAGATACACCAGCTGCTTTGTGACAGAAAGATGGACAGTCTCCTTTCATTCAATTTACTGCCACCAGAAACGTACTAGAAGCTCTGCTATGGGTCAGCTCCAACTCCACATTGCACAACATATTGTAATTAATACCCTAAAACAAAATACGTATATAATATTAATACTAGTAATAGAATAGTTGGCTGGAAAATCAGTTTGCTCTGTAAACTTCACTCAAACCAGAATAAATTTAAAAAAAGAAGAAAAGATGATGGGAGGATAGGTACATAAATTGAATAGTATTAATGGTTTTAATAGTGGGAGCAAATGGAATCAGATAATAATGTTGCTTGAATAAGTGGTGTGGAAGGAGAGGTTGGTGAATGCAGAGTGTTTTTTCAGAAAGAAAATGACTAGATGCTTTATCTTCATGGAAGAAGTGTCAATAGAAGAGTGGCTCAAGCAGCAAATTGGGGCCCATACAAGACAGACTCCTGAAATGAGGGCTGTTAGTCCGCAGGATAAATTATCACAGAGCAGTGAGCTCTCTTTTCTCTAGACTGTCAGTTGCAAACTGTTGAGAATGTCATTTCCCAGCCACAGGAGACATGCCATATGAATCTTAAGATGTTAAGTTTTATTTTGATAAAAAGTTTGCTTTAGACATGTTGTTCAGCATTTTTTATCGCTGTCTTAATTACAATTTTGACATTTATAAGCTGTTCAATATCAGTTGAGTTTGCTTGAATGTATTATGCCAAGACACTGGTAGTTCCTTTTCTTTATAATGGTCTCTTTTCCTTGTAAGATTGGCCAGGAGGGGGAAACCATGGTATTCTAAATACTCCACTGGAAAATTACTGTGTGTTATAAGTTTATTTTTACATTTTCCATTTCTCATTTGTTGTTGTTGTTGTTATGTGCCGTCGAGTTGCCTGCGACTCATCGCGACCCTATGTACAACAGCCCTAAACTCCGCTCCGTCCTGTGCCAATCGCACTCTGACACTCCCATCCCAATTATCCCAGTCACTGAATCAATCCACCTCATAGAGGGCCTTCCTCTCCTGCGCCGTCCCTCCACCCTCCCAAGCA